GCCATCTTTGTTTTCGCGACGCGGGGAGCGCCCCCTCGCCGCCACCGCCCCCTCCGGCCTCCGGGTCACGTGAGTCCACGCGGAGCCTATGTGAAGGCCGCTCTGCGCGAGGCGGCCCGGCGACCAGAACCAATGGGCGCGCGAGGCTGGCTGAGGGCCCGCCCCTGCAGCTGTGGGCAGGAAGGGGGCGGGCCTCGCACCAGGGGCCAGTGGCGAGGGTCGGGCGCAGCGCGAGCGGGGGGCTGCCAGCGGCCCGCAGCCCTGAGGCCCGCGCGTCCGAGTGGCCTGCGCCTTTGTCCCTAGGACGCGAGCGGGGGTCTATGGCCCGAACTGGACGGGATGTGTGAGCAAACTCGCCCACCATCCCGTTGTGCCCTGTGTGGGACCGGATGTGCTTCCAAGAGGAGCCAGCGGGGGCACTGCCACTGGGTAACCCATTGCTCTGGTCAGACCGGTTTCTTGACCCTGGAGTGGGGAGCTGAGAAGGGCGTGCGGAGAAAGTGAAGATCTTGGGTCATTGATTCCGCCTGGCACAGGCAGCCGGACGCCAAAGGCCAACGAGGCAGGGTGGAGTCAACCCAGAGAGGGGATGTGTGTCTCTGGAAACCACTGTGGAACCGGCCTCCCCTGCCCCACCCCAGTCAGCAGCCTGTGAAGGTCACTGCCCCAGAGGGCCACATGCCAGGCTGGGCAAGAATAAGAGGAGCTGCTCCCTGTCCCAGGAGAGCAAGAGCCCTGGTCTTGCCGCCCAGGGGTGAGTGGAGGAGTCTCCTGACAGGTGTTGGCAGCAGGCCCAGTTGCTGCCCTGGGCCTTAGAAAGTTCCCTGGAGGCTCTTCCGTCCCTTCAAGAATGGGCCAATTCCATATTCCTGTGAATCGCTAAGGTTTATTGGATACCAAGCCTCCCTCTGGATCAGTATTTCCCAAAGTGGGTGATGCCGCCCCCTGGGGGGCAGTGCTGGAACAATCCAGGTTAGGGGGCTTACTAACCCTTAACCTGGATTATGGGCTAAAGTACAAGTTTGTTTTTTTGCTAAAGAGGGGCGGGAAGGCCAAGTAATTTTTTTCTGAAAAGGGAGTGGCCGAGTGAGTTTGGGAGTCTTATGCTGTAGACCCACAGCCATGTCCAGCCCAGAATCAGGCCCCAACTCATGCCTCAACTGTTGACTGGTGACTCTGGTCTAAGCAAGCCCTGAGTGTGCTCCAGGGTTAGTGTCAGGTGTCAGGAGGAGGTGGTGGGAGGCAGGGGTGCAGCCCTGCCCTGGGACCCCGCTGTCACTCCCACTGCAGGTGGTGTGTGTACAGGGCCCTGCAGTACGCCCAACTGCCCGCAGCCAGTGCCCATCGGCAGATGTCCTCTTTGGGCAGCAAGAGCAGTTTGTCTGTCTCCAGCCGGCTCAAGAGGCCAGCTGCCCCCAGCATCACACCCCCCCACATCCCATAAGTGTTGGCTGTGAAAACAGCCACAATGAGAATGGTCACTGAGACCACCAGCACCACTGCCTGCCCAGCCACAGATCGGCCCTCAGCCCCAAGGTGGTCACCAGCCACTGCCAGCACCATGCCCCCTGCCAGCATCAGATTGGCTGAGGAGCGGTCCCCATTCACCCAGTGAAAATCAAAGGCCAGAAGGGGCAGGCTGATTACGGTGGCCACCCAGGCTCCAGTGCGGCAGTCTTCATCTGTGCCCAGGCCAGGGGCCAGCATGGTGGCAGCAGCCAAAGCTTGGAGCAAGAAGCCAGCAGCAGCCCCTCGACTTGCCTGTGAACACATGGAAGGGAGGTGTGGGGAAGGGGGCCAGCTACCATCGCTGCTGCCTAAGCAGTAGGGCCTGGGGCTCTCATGGCAGCCTGGACCCCAGGTTCATCTCCCGGACTACCCACCCACCCACCCACCCCCCGTTCTGACGACCAGGCCTAGATGCTGGGGTCTGGGGTGGGGCTTGGCACACAGGGTGGACTAAGGCCTCTGGAGCAGCTGACGCTCCCCCAGCTACTCACCTGGGCAGTGCACACAGCTGCGTGCAGAGACACGACACCAAGCATCAGGTGGGAGAGGGCTGTACCCCAACTCATCCCAGGTTGGGGGGTCATGGTGGTAGGGAGTTTGATGAGAAGCCAGGGAAGGGGATCCTCAACTTTGCAGAGAAAGCACAGATGCCGGCGACCAGGCGCTATAAGGACAGCTCTCCAGAACGTACAAATGCCAAACTCCAAGTCTAAGTGCAGGGGTGGAGTCGACCCTTAACTTTCGGGGGCCCTGAGGCCAGAGGTGGGGATGGGGGTGGGGTGGGCGGCACCAAAGTGAGGAAGAAGAATCTAATTAGGCCTGAAAACCGTAGGAAAGGGATGGGGAG